AATCCAAACCCTCTTGTCTTGAAGTATTTAATTATATAAAATGATGATTTGTAGTTATATGGAGACTCAATTTATATTCTATAGCCATTTCTCTAGAACAGTTAGCAATTCAACTAAAAATAGATTTGGTGGGCAAGTCATTCATCAATCCATCATGGCTTATCAATCAGTTTGTCCTTCCCACACAAGGAAATTCACTTATGTTGTGAATCCAATAATGTGCAAACAAAAATTCTGTTTTCTTGCACAATTGGATATTCTTTACAAGACAGGTTGTCACTTTCTTTCATTCCTTTCACTTACAGTAGATATGTGGACAGTATAACCACACAGAGGTTATAATAAAATGGGCCAAACCTAGCAATACAAGCTAGGTGTCTAGAAGAAAGAAATCACTTGATTCCCTCACCTGCAGCTCATTGGTTACTATGGTTGACAAATTACATTTCTCTTTCTTCTGTCTAGCTACAACATCCGACCACTGCAATCCAATATATTAAATGATCATTACTCTAAACAGAATAAGTTTCTGTAGGAAGAGCACCATTTAGATTTCTATCTTCCTAAAAATCATTATGCCTGTGTATTTTCATGTTTTTACTGAATTAATTAATTTCTTACTTAAAATTTCCAAAAAGCTATTTGAGGATCTCTCAGGGGCTGACACAAATTAATAATAATGATCCCATTTGCATAGCAATGGCCTCATTATCTTGCTGACTTCTGAGAAATGCTGCAGTCGGAATCTTAATGTCATCGCTGCGAATGCAGTATTTCCTCTCTAGTGGATACAACAGAGACACTGGCTAATAAACATTGCCTCCTTCAATTTGAAGCATCTTCAAGCCACAACTGGGAATTTACACTCCATGTTCAAAATTAATATAATATATGCTTATCTCGGCACAAATCTTTCTTTGGCAAGGTACCATCCATATGTAATGAGAACTAGAACACAAAAGAACATATAATCAGAGCCTTGTTTTACAAATCCTGATTTTATGCTTCAACAAAATTTAGGGGACCCCATTAAACAAAAACAACCCCCCCCCCCGGCAAATCAGGCATAGCCATTTTCATAGCTAAATTAATTCAACTCTGATTATTGCATGTGTTAATTTAAAAATCCAGTATTTAAGTGGTTCTAAAGCCTAAACATTTTTTTTTACCCCAATTCATTCCCTGCACCCTCCATTCCCCCCCCCCCCCCCACATCCCTTGCTTATACCTGCCTGAGCCCTCACTCAATCCAACACCATGCTCTCACAGGCTTTGCTAAGGCAGAATGAGCCATTGGTTCCCAATGGTGATGAAGTGGGGGCGGGGTGCAGGATCAAGCCTGCAGATGTGCCACAATACAAAGAGGCTTCCTATTGTGAAAACCCAAGGAGTGGAGGAGCTTGGAGCACCGGTGGGGACCTCAGGAGGAGGATTGGGGACCATTCTGTGCAGTTCCATTACACAGAGCAGATATATATCTATATCACGTTTGTCATGTTAAAAAGAAAAAAAAAAAAAAAAAAAAAAAAAAAAAAAAAAAAACAAACACACAAACAAACAATGGTGAGCATGAGCAAGCATATTTTTGTGTATTCTTCATTGCCAAAGCAGCTGGATTGTGTGGCAGTGGTCGGTCCTTTGCCTATATATTTTGTACTAAAGGGAGTCCATCTCATCTCAAAAAGTTGCAGGGTATGCCTGCTCGCTGATTTCAATTACAAGTGCTTAAGTGCTAGTCAAAATAGGTCCACAACAAGGTAAATTAGTAACTGGGAAGTTCTACTACTATTAGCCAACTGTATTTATGGGGGCCAGTCATGGAGGCACTGATTGGTATTTATAGGTGCAGGGCACTGCTCTGACATTATACAGCAGCTAGACAGAAGCAAATGTTACAATCTGCACTCACTTCTCTTGATGAAAGACTAGCATTCCGACAGATGTTAAGACAGGCATTTCTTCCATAAAAGGCATGTTCATCCATAGAGATGATTAAATGGAGATTGTCACATCTGCTTCAAAGTCCTTTTTGCTATTGTAAAAGGTCAAAGCAGTGATCACCATCTAGGGCTGTGGTTTGCTGCCTCTGAATGACAGCTAATGGCTATATTAAAGAAGAACATTTACTACAACTAGTGATGGACCGAACACCCCCCCTGTTCGGTTTGTGGCCGAACATTGGACCCTAATGAATGTTCGACCGAGTTAAATGCAAGTCTATGGGACTTAAACTTCTAAGTCTTCAAAATGGGCACTTTTGAATTTACATGGAAGTTGACCATAAAAGTGGTATGGGGTATCTGGTACTGCTCTCAGGGATACGAATCAGGGAGATTAAAAAAAAAAAAAAAAAAAAAAAAAAAAAAGTGTACTGGCTGTCATTTTCATTGCTTAAAGAAAAAAAAAATCCTTTAAAAATATCATGCCTGGGGAGGTCCCCTTAAACTACATGCAAAGTTGCACATCTGTATAATGTATAGAACCTGCAACATGACAGTTTTTTTTAACAAATGAAATGGTAAAAACCCCCAAAAACAGCATGGGGTCCCCCCAATCCATACCAGACCCTTTAGATCAGGTAGGAAGGTTAGGAGGGACCCAACAGTGAAAATTAAAGAGTGCCAGAAATGGGAAATGCGTGGAATTCCCCTAAAAGCCATACCAGGCCCTTTAGGCTTGGTAGGACTTTTAAAAAGGGGAACAGCACACAGAGGGGGAAAAAAAAACAGCGGGTGGTCCCCCCCTCTGAACCAGACTTACCAGACCCAGACCTCGGTGAAGACAAGCACCTCTTCCCACAACCCCTACCCATTTACTAAGGTTAAATTGTGAAAAAAAAAAAAATATAAACACTCCAGACTTTTGAAAAACTCCCTTATGGGGGGGGGGGGGGGGGGGGGGGGAGGTTTCCACCATTGTAATCCACCATTAATCATGGCGTCCAGCGTTGTCACGATGCCAAACTGTTAAAGGGAAAAAAGAAACCAAATATAAAAACACCTGACGCTCGGCAACCCGTCTGCACCCACGGCAATATGACAGGCCTGATAGTTGTCTTTTCAGTTGTAAACAATTGGGCAGAGCTAGCGGTGGCTGCACCATTTACTCCACCCAAATTGTGCTGTGATTGGCCAAAGCATTGCATGTGACCTGTGGTCAGGAGCAGTGCTTTGGCTAATTATTATTATACAGTATTTATAAAGCACCAAAGGTTCGCTCAGCGCTGTACATTACAAAGGGGGACAGAACATGTGACAGAACAATACCAATACAATGCAAAACATGAGGGGATCGAGGGCCCTGCTCTTTCGAGCTTACAATCTAGGAGGGAGGGATAGTGGTACAGGAGGAGATAGCTGTGGGGGATGGAGTGGTAGGAAGAGTGGAGGTCGTCGGCAGGTTAGCAGGGGGTGGGGTAGGCTTCCCTGAAGAGATGGGTTTTCAGGGTGCGCCTAAAGGAGAGGAGAGTAGGTGATAATCTGATGGGTTGGGGCAGGGAGTTCCAGAGGATGGGTGACACCCTGGAGAAGTGCAGTGCATTGTTGGGTGCAGCGGGCGAATAGCCCGCGCTGAACTCCCTTACCATTCACCGACCACACGAACGGCTGATGTTCAACTCGAACATAAAGGCCATCACTAACTACAACCCATTTGCCCGATTTATAGAACATTAGCTGGGTCAGGTTTTAATCAAGGTTTCTCAACCTTTTTTCAGTCAAGGCACCCTTTAAAATTATGGACAGTCTTGAGGCACCACATTCTAAAAAAATGGGAAAACACTATTCTAATAGTTTTATATAACGTAGCAATATCCACACATGTAGGACTCCCAACACTAGAGGGGATCACAGCTGTGTTGACATTCCTCTGAAGACATGCAATCGCAGGAAAGGCCTAAGGAGTCAACACACTGTAGCATTTAGCCGCCGGAGCCTTTTACTGGTTTGGTGGCTGCTTGAATTTACTGGTCAGTGTACCTTTTTATTGTAATTTTTTTTTACTTAAATTGAATATTTTATTGGCAATATTACACTATGGGCACTTCCTTTATGGCTCCTTCATGGAGCTTTTTGTTTTAAGTATGCAGACCCTGGGAAGTACCTCACCATCCAGAGAAGGGGAATTCGTGCAATCAGGTGGCTGACCCTGCTGACCCTTAAAGGACTCCTCTGGAACACACACCATCCTGTTACTGCTGAGCTGTCCACTTGGAGACGGATCCCCGAATGCATACCTTATTATCTTGATACCCCTGGCTTTGGATATCATAATGCGCATGATCCATGCGCTTCTGGTAAGCGCATAATTTGCTCATTTATTCTTCCATTTTTGGAATATCGCAAGAAAGATACGTTTACTGGGACTGTTTTAACTAGTGTATCTGACTGTATTCTTAATTTAAATGTGGCAGATAGTATGGGGAGACTTTTCCTCGTACTGTCAAAGGGGGCAGCGGTTGTGGCCATGGGAACATGTTGCATGTCCCCCCCCCCCAAAAAAAAAAAAAAAAAAAAAAAAAAAAAAAAAAAAAAAAAAAAAAAAAAGGGAGGCTCAGTGGCCATTTTGGTGTATCACATGTGCTGAAAAAAAGCCAATGTCAACATTGGTAGTTTTGCAGCAAGGCTTCATGGATGACAGAAAAAGATTACAGGTATGGTATTTGCATAAAAAAAAAAAATTTTTTTTGTTTTTTTTTTTTTTTTTATTGGGGCCCCTTGTCTGCATGAGTCAATTTATTTATAAGGTGAACCTAGCCTTTAAGACAAACTACCTTCTAAACGAAGATTTAGCAGTTACCACTTTAATTCACCATTAGAACAAGGAGAATTTCATCTTTTATATCCAATTCAGAGCTCTTCTCCCTGAGACCTGAGAAAAGGGCAGATTGGTTGAAGGACCCAAAGATGCTCTCACACATGCAAGTCTCTGCCAGGGTTACTTGGTGGCTGGCCAGGCCAGCCTCCAGGTCTAGTTCATACCCCAAATATAAAAAAAACTACCTTCTGTTTCAGAGAGTTGAGTTTTTCTTCTCGAAGATGATCTCTCAACATTTCCTTATGCAGCCGGTCTTGCTCTACCGCAAACTCTCCCAAAGTGTACTGACGTACACTGTTGTGACGGCTGGACATCCCCAAAGTACTTCCACCTTGACTGGGTACGCTGGTGAAGCCTTGTCTCCTGGTGAAATAATACACTGTGACACAGTTGAAGCGCACATTCTTGGCTCTCAGTCTCTTCTCTCGCTTTAGAATGGATGATGCTGTAAAACAAGAAGAGATGATGATTTCAGAGATTTCCTCCTGTGCTGCAGGACTTGCTCTGTTTCACAGTGAAGAAAAAAAACAAAAAAAAAAAAAAAAACAAAAAAAAAAAAAACAAAACCCTGGAGTAAAATTTTATAAATCACTAATCTACAAAGGTTTCTTAACTTGCTCTCTGGACTAGATTTTTTGCTATTTGGCACTACGCCATTTCAACTGGTATATGCGCAGTCATGCCATACTGTGCCCAAACAAAAAGGGTGTACTTTTTTTCCCACAAAAAGCTTTTGGTGGCATTGGATCACCACTTGGTTATTTTATCTTTTGTGCTATTTAAATGGGAAAAAAAACAAAAAAACCCTCACACAAACCAATCTCATTTCTTGAGGTGCTAAAAATGCCAGGCCAGTTCAAAACCCCCCCAAAAATGAGCCTGTCTGGAAAGTAGACACCCCAAAGGAATTTGCTGAGAGACATGTTGCGTCCATAGAAGATTTCCCCCCCCCCCCCCACAAATGTTTGGAAAAAGGATTTATTTTCTTTAAACATAAAAAGAAAGTGCCACCTAAAAATGATATATTACTCACGCATGCCATGGGTATATGTGGAAGAAAAAAACACATTCTGGTACTTCTCCAGGGTATGGACATACCCAATGTGAGAGACTTTTTGGCAGCCTAGCTACATACAGGCCCTGGTAATCCAAAATCCAAAATGACCAACTACAGGCTTTCAAAAAGGGAATATTTTCTCATGTCACTTCCTCACTACCCATCACAGTTTCAGAGGCCCTAAAATGCCAGGATAGTACAAACACCGCCACCCAAATTACCCCCTTTTTGGAAAGTAGACAACCCAAGGAATTTCATAAAGGAGACAGACAATGAGTACTTAGCAGATTTTTGTCACAGGGTTTTGAAAACAAAAACACACATTTGTGGCAACAAAATGTGGTCTGCAAAATTCTCATTTGGGGGGGGTGCTTCTACTATCCAGGGCCAACATTAGAAGCCTATGCCACACATCACTTACTCTTCTAACCACTTGAAGACCAAGCCTTTTCCGACACTTTTTTTTTTTTTTTGTAAACAAACACCCACACAACACTTTGCTAAAAAATTACTTTAACCCCTTGATGCTGAGCGCATGCAATTAGGCGGCCTCTTGGAGTCTGGGCCTTGACGCCGTGTGGCCGCATATTTGAGTGCCATTAGAAAACGTGCCGAGGACACATGCCCTGCACGCTCCCAGCACATATGTCTGTGACCCACGGAAAGGTCCCGATCGGGACCTTTTCCGATCATGTGACTGCCAATGTGCCAATGAATCATGGCAGTCACATAAATTACCCTAAAACCCCGCCAGCGCGTGTATTATATATATATATATATATATATATATATATTTTTTTTTTTATATTAAAGCAGAGGCCCTAGAGATTAAAAAATGGTGGGTGTTGCAATTTGTATGTCACAGTATTTGAGCAGCAATTTTTCAAACAATTTATAAAGAAAAAACAAACTTTTTAGAACTTTAAATGCACAAAAAAAAACAAAAAAAAAAACACACAATATATTGCCCAATTGTTTGAGATAGTATAAAAAGAGGTTATGCTGAGTAAATGGATACCAAAACATGACACATACTTTACAAATTGTGCACGCCCGCTATCCACTGTGATAGCAATAGGCAAGGAATTTTCTGAGAATTCTGGGGTCTATTAGACTCTAGATCTCTCCACTGCCCTAAAGCATCTGATCACACCAAGATTGGGGTGATCAGATGCTTTCCCCACTTTTAAAATGGACCAGTTTATATCTGGCGAAATTCTGAAATGCTCATAGCTTCTGTTCTCTTAGAGTCTAGACCATAGAGATGACTGGAGGCATTCTGGTCTCTGATCAGCTCTATGGTCAGCCAGCAGAACTGCTAGCTGTATTCTTGGGTTCCCAAGAAAACCGTGAAAGGTGATGTGAAAAGGGGTGGGGCGGGGAATACATCCCTTCCTGCTGCTTGTAAAAACGATGCAGCTGCTAGGGTTGTTTTTAAATACTTTTACATGAAAACCCAACAGCCAGCTGAAAAAAAAAAAAAAAAAAAAAAAAAAAAAAAAAAAAAACACACCAGGATGATACATGTAGCTGCAGGCATCATCCTAGTAGAACCACTCAAGGTCCAGCGACAAAGACATACCAGTATATTGCTGGTCCTTGTTGGGCAAATATGTAACAGCAGAGAACATGGGCATATGATGAATGGACCGATATGACAGCAATTAATTCTTTTTTGTAATGCCCATGTTGAGGGTTGGACCTAAAAAAAGTTTTAAAATTCAGAAACCTTGATGTGAATTATCTGGCAATAAGTTCATACAAATGTGAAAAACAGTGGAGGGGCTAAACGCTAGTGCTGGCAGCAATTGGGCTGATCCTGCTAGCTCTGCGTTTTTGGAGGCACTATATTAAAAAGGAGGCCCTAAGTTCTTTTCGTGATCAATATATTGATCTGTACAAACACTATACGGTTAATGGCAGTGATCAGCGACCTATAGCTTGAGTGTGTGGGCAATCTAACGCTAGCTGACCCTGGCTGGGAGGGGAGCTTACTGACCCTGACGCCATCTGATGTCGCTAGTGGCAGTAATACAGTGATCGGTGAAGAATTCTATATACTGGCACTGTACAAATGGCACTGGTTGGGTGACAGTGATCAAAGAGTTAATAAGGGCAATCAATGGGTTAAATGTGCTAATCTAATGGATGTGTAAAATGTAGTGCTTTTGCTCAGTGCGGTCATCTCTCCTCTCCCTGAAACAGCATAGGGGGCAGTAGAGGAGGGCCTACGCACACCCAGAAATAGAAAGCAATGTAAGGGTATGTCGCTTTGCCCGGAGTGGCCACACATTGCATACAAATGCAATATTTTGATTTTTCTCTTAATTTTTTTCACTTTTGTTAAAAAAAAAAAAAAAAAAAAAAAAAAAAAAAAAAACCACCACACAAAACTTTTATCACATTAGTAACATTGTACTACTCGAGGGGCGTTATCAGGGATTTTTTTTTTGCACTTGCAATGCAGAGTTTGCTTTGAACTGTCATGAATAGGTTACGTTCAAGGCAGCTCAAAATACAATGATCTATGATTGTACCATGTGACCAGCTGGAGCCAGGGTGCTGTGATTGGCCCCATGTATCACGTGAGATCTGTGGGCAAATCACATCTCAGTAGGAAGAGTAGTAGAGCCGTTATGAATCATATTGATTCATAACAGCTTTTTCATCATATCGATCACATGACCACTGGGTTCTATTCACCGGAATCTTCATTCAGCTGTGTCTGGTGGACCCCCCCGTGTTGTACGGGTACGTTGTTGGTCCTGTAGCTGCTGCCCGTCTGCAGTACATTGTGGTCTGTATACCATATGCGTATAAATCCTGTACAGCACCTCTACCAATTCTGTGCCGCGATTACACCAAATGGTCACCACCTATGTCACATACCAAAACTGTACTGCACATCATCTTGCATGCATATTAAGAACACCATTAAGTGCATTAACTCTTAAATAGCCCAACGATAGCCAGGAGAAAAACCTAGGACAGCACCTCCCATAAGCCTATCTTGCAAATCCCCTTTACCTTTCATATACTAAGTCCATACCCAGTCAGTTTTTGGCCTGGCATTAGTTGTACTCAGGCAGCATAGTCCCTGTGTCTTGGTAGATAGTGTTTTACTTTCAATATTCCACTGTTTTCCATGTTTGTACACTCAACCTGGTGTGCCAGAAGGGCTGAGGCAAAGAGCAGGGGACCCATCATATCCAGCAACTCCTACAGGGTAGCACTACACTAGCATGGGAAACACCAAAGCTGTCCACTCACAAATCTGATTGTACAATCAAAAATTACATCTACCAACAATTACAAAGTACTAGAGTATGCCCAATTGGATACAAATTGGATGCATTTTCTAGGTAGGTCCTCAAATTAGATTTGGGTAAAGCTAAAAAAGGAGATTGTGATGTTTGACTGGTTTTGGAGGCTGCATTTGAACATTGTGCAACTTAACCAAAATCTCCCATGCACAGTTTTTATGCCTAAAGTGGAACTTCACTACACCCGAGCACCACAAACCAAAAAAATGCCATTTAATTCATTGTGAATATTTAAAGTAAACTCACTCATCCATGTCTCCTTGCTTTATTTTGCTGAAAAATACATTTTGAAAAAACACCACCTGGCATTTCTGGCAATGGCCATCTTGAGTAAGGGCAGATGAGTCATGTAGCATTTACTTCCTGGATCCATCTGTCCTTAGCTCAGGCATTGGTTGTGCTGAGAACCCTCCCTCCTCTCCTGAAGACTGCTGTGATGTAGGACAGAATTTGCCTAGGCAAGGGGGCCAGGAAGGAACTGAAGAAATTTAAAATAAAATGTAAGACAAGTAACTACAATACATTCCGATCCATTTACTAATGCTAGCAGCATGAGGATTAAAATAGTCAATGCTGATTGGGAGAGTGAAGTGCCACGCTAAGCAGTAAAAGATCCTAAGGTTGTCTGGGCAGGTAATCTATAAAAGCCAATGGTTTTTGTGTACAAACATGAAAAGAAAGGTAAAAATTGAGAAAATAAACAGACACTGGGTAGAGGACACCTGTCATGCATGGTGGAGGAAGGTATAATAGTATGGACCTGCCATGGTGGTAGGCAAGAGAATTATACAGAAAGCAAATAATGAACCCTCCATTTTACATGTTGTACCATCCCTTGTAGTCAGTGCTTGATAGGTGCAGGATTTCAACATACAGAAGAAAAATGATCCAAAAGAATACTTCTAAAGATATGCAAAAACCTATTTGGTGAAAATACAGAAAAAAAACAAAAAACAAAAAAACACACCACACAATCTTAAGGGCCGTCTGAGGATCTATTCAGCACAATCAACAGACCTCAACCCTATCATGCCATTTAAGGAAAAACCTTGCACCCTTACGTCA